TTGTTGTCCCCAACAATCTTGAAATGGGCCCTCATTTCACCCACCCTGGAAGGATGGAAGGCTGAGCCAACCTTGAGCCCCATCAGGAATAAAACTTCAGGCCAGCAATACTTCACTTTAACCATTGGGGAAAATGAGGACCTGGATTGTTGTTGGGGGCAATATGCTGACTCTGTAAACCGCTTAGAGAGGGCTGAAAGCCCTATGAAGCGGTATATAAGTCTAACTGCTATTGCTATTGTGCATGCGTGCACGACCCCCCTACACTCCCCGCACACTTCTCCCAGCCTCCACACATGTGTGCACTCTCCCACCCACCCCCAGCACGTGTGTGTGACCCCTGTGCACGCGCACGGCCCCTATGAATGTGCATGACCCCCTGTGTCCTGTTTTGGGCCTAGCAGGCCTCCCTGAAGCCACCTGGGACCAAAAATGGGCCACAGGGGGTGGGGGTACTGCAACCTCCTGTGCTCCTCCTCGCCCCCTGCATGCATGTGCAATCCCTCCCTCCCCCTGCGTATACCTGCATGACTCCCCTGCCCCTCACACATGCAACCATTTCTCCCACATGCATAGCAGAGACCTGAAAACCAGCTGGCCGTCAGGAGGCACAAACGCATGCACAGTGGAGCTGAGCTGAGTGATGGCTTGCGTGCCCGTATAGAGGGCTCCACATGCCACAGGGGGCATAAGGTTCACCAACATGGGTCTAGACTATAACTTATGAAGCTGCATTTGCCAGTTGTCTAGTCTAGAGACCTTGATAATGAAAAGATTTGAAACTCTCTTCAGAAACTTGCGCCAAGCCGATGGATGTGATATTTCTTCTGGATGGAACCTCAGAAGTTGAAGCAGCTCAGTTCGAGGAAATGAAGCGTTTTGTGAAAGGATTTATTGAACACGCTGGCCTGGGTGAGTATTGCTTCATTTTAGGCCTCAGGGTGCTCTGGATTGGTGGTTCTCAAGAAGAAGGCTTTGACGTAAACCCATAAACTCTTCTTAAAAGGATTGCTGATCTATCTTTGCGAAGCATTGAAAATATTAGCGCAGGAATCCACCTCATCTCAGCGGCCCTGGTGGCGCAGTGGTTAGAAGGCAGTATTGCAGGCTAACTCTGCCCACAGTCAGGAATTCGATTCTGACTGGCTCAACATTCACTCAGCCTTCCATCCTTCCAAGGTTGGTAAAATGAGGATCCAGATTGTTGGGAGCAAGAGGCGGACTCTGTAAACCAACCAGAGAATGCTCTAAACCAGGGGTGTCAAACTCAAGGCCCGGGGACCAGATCTGGCCCGTGAGGTGCTTAGATCTGGCCCATGAGCCCACCCTAGAAACAGTGAAGAACTGGCCTGCGGTACCTCTCCAAGCAAAAATGGAGCTTGGGAGGGCTGTAGACAGCCCTCCCGAGCTCCGTTTTCACTGGCAGAGGGTTGCAGGAGGCCGTCGCAGGCAAAAACGGAGCTCGGGAGCCCATCTTCACTGGCAAAGCGCTCGGCACACCTGACACGCTTGATGTTAAGCTGGCCACGCCCTCAATGGCCTCCCGAGGTCAAACACAACCCTGATGGGGCCCTCAATGAAATCAAGTTTGACACCCCTGCTGTAAATCATTATGAAGCGGTATAGAAATGTAAATGCTATTGTTTTGCTATTACAAGACCCTTGTTCTTCGGAGTCACTTCTGGTTCTTGTAGCGTTCCTCACACAAAGATTCTTTCTGGAAAGGAGGGAAGGAAGGAGGGAATGTAGGAGAGAAGGAAGGGTGGAAGGAAGGAGGAAAGGAAGGGGGAAAGGAAGGAGA